ATTAAAAATTCTAAATAAGTTATAATTTGTATACTTTTTTGTAAAACAAATAAGACCTAAATTACAATAATAATTTAGAAATATTATATTACTATTTAGGGCATGAATTTCCATTTTCCATCAAAATGAGTTTCATTCGCACATTACTTCAAAGATCGGAATTGGATTTAAATAATTTTAGTAATATTAGCACTGATACAAAATGTACTTTTATTTTACGGAAGAAAAGTCAAAAAGCTACATCATATCCAAGTAAGTTAATTTTTCTTCGATAAAATATTCAATTATTTTTCCATTATTGATTAGATTCATAATTTGATTTAAATTATAAAATACTTATATTAAATCTTTGATAAATAAATATAAAAACGTTTTCATGAAAAGTTAATACAGTAGAGCGTCGTTTATCCGAAGGTCGGTTATCCGAAACGTCGGTTATCCGAAGGAATTCCAGTCGACAAATTTAAATTTTCGCCAGTGCTGTGGCGCTGTAATCTTTGGCTATGTCTTGGGCTACTCAAATATTTTACGTTTTTGATACTAAATTAACTTCTGAAGTATAATTTTTTATTGTTTTTATATTTTTCAATATATTTATTTTGTTTGTACAAAATAAAAAAATAATTTTTAACGATACAATAGTCTTCGTTAGGCTTAACATCGACGAAAATTCAACGTGAATCGACACGCAACAGAGAAAAATTTCAACACGGGATAAATTAATATATTTTTTCGTACATAATTGGTTATCCGAAAAATAAGTTATCCGAACAACTCCAGTCCCCAATTGATTCGGATAAACGACGCTCTACTGTATTAACTTTTCATGAAAACGTTTTTATATTTATTTATCAAAGATTTAATATAAGTATTTTATAATTTAAATCAAATTATGAATCTAATCAATAATGGAAAAATAATTGAATATTTTATCGAAGAAAAATTAACTTACTTGGATATGATGTAGCTTTTTGACTTTTCTTCCGTAAAATAAAAGTACATTTTGTATCAGTGCTAATATTACTAAAATTATTTAAATCCAATTCCGATCTTTGAAGTAATGTGCGAATGAAACTCATTTTGATGGAAAATGGAAATTCATGCCCTAAATAGTAATATAATATTTCTAAATTATTATTGTAATTTAGGTCTTATTTGTTTTACAAAAAAGTATACAAATTATAACTTATTAGAATTTTTAACAATTTTATAATTAAATTAAAAATTAAAAAACATTTTTACTAAACATCATCGATTAAGTTAAAATATTGTATTTCAATAATATCAAGTTTAATTTATACTCTGTGCTAAAAACACTAATTTTTTTTTTATTATACTCTAAAATATCAGTTTTGTCATCTATAGTATAAATTATAATATACTTATTATGAAAATACTGTCCAATTTTTGAAAGAAAATATATTTAAATCTGCATAATAATTATATTTAATAAAAAGTTTCTCTATTTAACAAAAGTTAAAAAGTTGCAAGAATTAATTCATAGAATAAATAAAAAATTCTTATACAAATATAAACATCTAAACTTAACAGTTATATATTAAAACCAAACAATTGCTGGATTAAAGCAGGCTATATTACTACTACTATCATTAATTAAATACTTATCATTTAATTAATAATAATAGTAGTAATATAGTCTGATATAATCTGGCAACTGTTTGGCTTTAAAAAGTTCTTATATTCATATATAATTTACATCTTTGTAAATAAAATTAAATTTATATATATATACTATGAATATACCCACAATGAAAAAATAACTTATTTTAACAGTTTCTATAAAAATAAAATACCAGTACTCTGATAAATTTTAAAAAGTTTAAGATAAGAACTGTTACATTATTAATTATTAATTTTACCATTAAATAACAACTTCTGTATCTCTTTTCTATATCCAAAGTATTTCAAAATTATTAATTACATGATATTCAATTTATATCTTATTTATCAATACATAAACTTTTATTTTATGTTGTATATGATTTATTTAATTTTAATAAAATTGATTTTGTTTAATGCATTTCATGAAAATGCTGATTGAATTTCATATACCAATAGTAAAGAATAAAACTATATACTTCTGTATGTTCATTTCTTATGTAATTATTAAAAATATTATGTAGGTAATAAAAATAATGTATGAGAAACTATTCAATATATTCAAAGTAACAAAAAAAATGTTTTGTTCAAATTCAAATAATGAATAAAATTTAATAGGATTATTTTATTAGATAAGATTTCAATTAGAAGTACAGCTTTTATTTTGTATTTAGTTTTATCAATAAACTTCACACAGTTTTGAATTTACAAAAAACAAAAAAAAAAAGCAAAATTCTCTAAAAGCAAAATAAAGTTACTATTGTATAAAAATGTTAGAACTTTCCGTTCAGAAATAAAATATCTTTTCCTTAGACATTCGGTAGAGAATTCGAACTTCACACTTTAATGTGAATTGACTTTTGTGTCTATTCACATAAAGGTGTAAAATTTCGAATTCACAGAAACTTGTAAATGAGGAGACAGTAACAACCAATAAATAAACAACTTTTAATATCAAAAGGAAACATAAATGATAATTGATTTAATTAATAATCTGTCCACCTGTTTTGCTTATTTAGATCTTGGCTAATTTATTGTTTCACCTACAATGGCATTTCAAGGACAATGGTAGGAATAAAATACCGTATTTCGTTGCAAAAAGAAATCCAATGGCAATTGGTATTTTAAAATTTATTGATTCAAGTGCTTTTAAAATTTGGGGATCAAAAAAAGCGCGATATACCCGAAATCGTTATATAACAACGGGATACTTTATTATATTATATTTAATTTAATAAAAAGATATATATACTATTAAAAACTGATATTTATTTTATATGAAATAAAAATTATAAGATTATTTACTTGATGATTACTTCATAGAATTTATTTAGGTTATAGTATTTATTTCACTTATGTTATTTCAGTAATAAAAAGGAAAAATTTATTTTTGATAATGATTAATCAATTAGATATTTTAGATAAGAATGTCAACATACTTAAACGTGACAGCCACGTTGATAGTTGGCCAACCCAAAACGAATGATGTCTCGTGAGAAAGACTGATTTCGGACACCTCATTTATGCACGTGGATGTCCACAGTTCGCACACCAATACTTTTTCCTTTAATCGAAATGTGCCGCCAGATCTAAAATAATAAACAATAAAAAAAATTCAAGAAAATTAAAATTTTATTGATTTAATAAATTTTAACAGATATTAGAAATTTACACGCGTAGATGGATCTTATTACCAGAAGGTATTATGATTTGNTAAAAAATTCAATTTATATACGAAGTATTTTTAATAATTTTTAAATACTATTCTATATTATCAAAACTCTAAAATATAACTATACATATCTACTGAAATTAATTAAATTCTTACATTATTTTTAAAAATACAAATAATTACTCTGAATGCATTTTAATTATAGTATATTTAAAGGAAATTCTTCTGAAACATCTGAATAAATAGAGTTTCTTAAGATGTATCTTAAAAGAAATTTAGAAGTTGTGATAAAACTTTAATATATTCACTATTTTTATATATAGTTTTTAATGGTAATGTGCTTTCAGAATTTAATTAAAATTTTATAATTATCTTAACTATTTAAAATCAGAAATTTAAAAAATACTTCATATAAATTTGAACTGAAAGAAGTTAAAATAAATTAAACTTTTTAATGAAGAAATGTTGTTAAATTTATCATTATTATCCTAAAAACAAAATACTTTTCTTAAGCTATTTTTATCTGATAAATTTATAACTGTCTACTTTTTATTGTACTATGTTTAATCAATATTATTACAATGCAGTCTTTGATAAAAATGGAGTTATATTTATCAAACTGTGTATATACTGTATATGAAAATGGCCTGCACTTGAAATATTTATAAATGTAAACACAACTTGTACAATGCTTAACTTGGTTTTTAGTACCAATTGGTAACTTGTGTTTTGCGGGAAATTTTTTAAGTGTTTGCTGTTTTTTTGTATATTAATCAATTATTATTTATTATACATTGTTTTTAATTTTGGGTATTTTTATGTTCTTGCTTTTATTGGAGGAAATAATGCTCTTTGTCATTATCTGATACAATCAAATAAGTAATAAATTTAATAAATAAGAATGTTTGTTTTTTTAAGATAATGTCTAAAATTTTAACTTATTTTGTTTAGAATAGAAAAATTTTAGATATTTCAGTGGAAAATGTTTTATATAAATATTGTTAAAATCATGTTTTCATGTTTAAATATTTTATGTAAATGTTTTCATTATAAGTTTAGTATTTCTCTGAAATATATTTTGAATAAAAGTGATAAGAAAGATTGGAAACAAATTTCTTAGGGGTGTATGTAAAATTTTGGTAAGCATATTATAATTTCTATGTACTGTACATTAAAATGATCTCTTACCAATTAATGGATAAGGAGCATCATCTTTTCTTGATTTAATCCATAACTGATATTCATTAATTCCCTAAATTAGAAATAATTTCAAATTTAATTATTATTAACGAAAGAATATTATGATAAAACTCTTTATATAACTAAGTTACTTACATTTTGACTTAATTGTTCTAGTAATAGTTTAATGCAATCTTTTGCTGTTTGTCTATTATTTACTTTTAATGTTATATACTGTAACAAATATATCAAAATTTAGTTATTTATAATGATAAAACTTTGAAAAAACTTTAATCAAATCTATACATACATGGTTACCAATATTTTCTCTACTGTTTTGACTACAAAGACTAAATTGTATTGAAGTGACAGATTTTCCTTCCTTCTCTTTGCTTGTTGATATTAATCTGAAAAGTAACATTCAATAATTATAACTTATTATTGATGATAATTCATTTTTATATATTTAATAAAGTAAATGATATATTTCATCTTTTTATTGTAATAATAGACATTATAATTTTCTTTTGTATTTTAACTGAATTGCTGAATTAAATTTTAGATTATTTAAAAATTATCAATCAAATTTCTAAAAGAATATCAAAATTTCTCAAAATACTTTTTTAAAAAGAAATTTTCAATGATTTAAGTTATTTTTAACATTTTAATATAATTTTTTATTAATATAACAAATTACATGTAAACATAATTAAATACATATATATTTTAATTCAATCTATGATAAATGTATTTACATTTATTATCTTTTGTTACAAAATTAATAATCATAGCTTTCAACTTTTCAAATATTTTTAATAATAAAAGAATTATGTAATGAATAAACAGACATGTCTTCAATTTTCTTAATTAAATTGAAATATGTATTTACTTTTTTCTACATAAATAAATTTACTTAAAATATCATTATCTTTAGAATTCTGTAAAAGTACTACATTCAATATTCCTTCAAGTGAAACCTGTGATTTTAAACATAAAATATATTCTAATTAGCTATTGTATATAATTTTTTGATTAAATACATATCAATGTAACAAAGTTCATTTAGATTTATTGTTATTATAATAAATTTTAAGAAAATAATAATACTTATTTTTTAAATTCATTTAAAATTTTTATATTCAAAGAATTATCATGTATTTTGTAGTTTTGTTGTGTCAAATTATATAATAGGAAACTGCATTCATGTAACAATGATTACTGTGACATCACAAATTGGAATTATTATAGTTTTCGAATAATGAGAAAAACCATGAAATTAATTTCACACTGCATAAATAATAATATTCAACTTGTCAAATTTGTCAGAATTTAACAAAGTAAAAAATGAATGGTAATTATAAATAATTGACATTTAAAGTAATTTTCCCCATTATCCCTTCTCACCATTATTATAAACTAATGATAATACATGAGAATATACGTTAAGAAAAAAAGTAATTTACAAACAAAAAATATAAAAATTTTTAATATAATTATAAAACTTACTGTTTCAGTTTATCTTCCCATAACTGTTTAGTATGATTAGAGCTATAAGGAAAAATAAGCAAAAAAATTAATCAAACATAAAAATATTTAAATAAAAACATTATAATACTGTAATTTTAAAGATTTATTATCTTTTATTGTTCAGCTTTTATAGAAAGTTCTGGGAATTTAGCCTATAGCTTTCAATAGTTTTCGGAATTATTAAAAAAAATAAACAAATAAATAAATGATTAGTAAAATACGAACTAAATAAATGCCAACATTTATTTAGTTCGTATGAGTGAGATTTGTTTACGGAAAAGACCAGTTCTAAAATTGAAGGACATACATAGAATTGACGCCAAAATGATGATTGAAAAAAATGAACGTGATTTACCACACACTTGATATTTATCCAAGTGTACGAGAAATTACTTTAACCTTGATGAAATTAAACTATATAATTTAAGCACTTGTGGCAGAAACAAAACATTTTAAATGATATTTTGTTCATAATAATTTTTATTATTTAAAATATAAATATAAATAAAATGTATGCATTCATTTTTGACAAAAGAAAAATAACTATAGTGTTCATAGAAAAAAAAAAATAGCGAAGGTCTTTCGAGATCGCTAGTATCTAGTAAGTGGGTCACAGATTAGCCAGTACATCTTTGCCATCGGCTTCCAGAGAGAACCTCTTCTATTATATCCGGAGGCAATTCCTATTTTTTTTTTTTTTTTTAACTTTCATTTTAAGAGTCATTTGTGTTCAAAATCTTTCTATACTTATCGTTTGCTCTGATAAACCAAGGCTAAACCATCCTTCACATGCCAAAGTAGTGAGGTCAATGTAGACTATAAAGTTTTCTCTGCGGCTCCTGGCATTATAAATTTTTTCTTTCTTACCTTCGCTTAGTTTGTCCATGCTAACGAGACTGACTAGCCATAAAAATTTTAAAGTATAAAATAAAACTATGTACCTAAAGCTGCTAAATTTCCAATCACATTAAAATAATTTTTCGACTTTTGCAATTTTAATATTAAAGCATTTTTAATTGCGTATTTTTCTTAATTAATTAAAAAAGATTATCTTATATCGTATCTCCGTCACGATTTGTATAACATGACAGTTAATGATGTATGGATTAAATGAAACTTATTTATACGCAAGTCAAATTTTACGAATCAGTTTGTGTTGATCGAACGTTGAGACATGCATCTTAATTATTTGAAATAATTAAATATATATACACATATATATTAGTTTAAAAATATACTTATTAACTTAAGTATGACTGCAGATTAGACCTACCACACAGTTCATGGCGATTCAAATTATTGTCAAGATCAAGACCTTTTAAGTATCAATCCATCAGGTATAGTACCTGACCCGTAGATACAAAGTATCTAGCTACAAAAAGGAATGTAGAACCTCACATCTACCACAGAGATTTATAGAAAGTGCCAACCGCCTCTATTATCATAACTGCTGCTATCATTCAGCCAAAAGCTCTAGGGGCTAAAGAATCGACGGGATTCGTAGACACGAACTGGCCATAACAATAAGTCATAGTAAATGTAGTTTTAAAGAAATTGCACGTCTACTTCGATTTGGTTCAAAGAAGTTACTTTCCTTAAATTCAGCAAAACATTTTACAATCAAGACCAAGATCATATTGCACAACATTCCATTGCTTTCAAACTAAGCAATGGAATCTTCGATAACTAAAACTTTTTTTTATTATTTTCAAATAAATACAATTTCAATTTCTTAACTTTTAATATTAAAAATGAAAAATAATGACAATAACAGTAACATATATTTGATAATAGGATTATATTAATATATCTATTACTTAAACAAACTATTCGCTTTTACATTACATTATATAATTATATAAACGAGCAATTATTTATTGTAACATCGGTCATAATTCCGGGCTGCAATTTTTTTTTATTTAAAATATATGCTCTCCATCTGAAATTAGTAATAGCTTATCCCTGTACATCATACTTTTCCTTTAACAATACAGTCGTGCAGGTTATCTATAAAACATCTTTCAGGTGAAAATTTTTGAATTGAAATAACGTGACTTTCGGTCTTCATCAGAAGTTCATATATAGTTAATCCGGTCCTCCTGCCCCTAAGGTTTTCATATCTCGTCTCGTCTTTCATATATCTAACACTATTCTCGACATTAAGGAAAGACAGACGGACGGACGGACAGAAGAATGGAAGGACGACAGTGGGAATTTATAGGTCTACAATTTTTTTCAAATTGCAACCCAATAAATATTATATATTATTTAACTAAGAATTAAATTCTAGAATAATACGAAATTTAATACAAGTTTCGTATAATTATATTAAAATTATATAGTTTCATATTAACAACTTTGAAAATAACCTATTCAGACATATTTAGCCAATATATATACCAATTTATCTGTGTTATAAGATATCTTTATTGAATGAAAATTTCATTATACTTTGAAAATTTCTTAAGCTTAAAAAGTCATGTAAAATCTATCTGTAGATTAATATTGCAAATACAAGTCTGTTTGATAGGTTAATTCAAAGTTTCTGTAACTATACATTAATTTCAGCGAACCGTTAGATTAACTTTTCAAATCGAAATATTTTAACGATGCTTTGTTAATGAAATTATTTTACGTAATATTGTTACTTATATAACTAGCATTCATTACTTCACTTTATCATTGTAATATTCAAAATTAAGTTTCAAATATCTGAATTATTCGCAAAAACGAAAATATAATTTAAGATATAAACATAAGAATTTTTATTTATTATATATACTATTAAAAACTGATATTTATTTTATATGAAATAAAAATTATAAGATTATTTACTTGATGATTACTTCATAGAATTTATTTAGGTTATAGTATTTATTTCACTTATGTTATTTCAGTAATAAAAAGGAAAAATTTATTTTTGATAATGATTAATCAATTAGATATTTTAGATAAGAATGTCAACATACTTAAACGTGACAGCCACGTTGATAGTTGGCCAACCCAAAACGAATGATGTCTCGTGAGAAAGACTGATTTCGGACACCTCATTTATGCACGTGGATGTCCACAGTTCGCACACCAATACTTTTTCCTTTAATCGAAATGTGCCGCCAGATCTAAAATAATAAACAATAAAAAAAATTCAAGAAAATTAAAATTTTATTGATTTAATAAATTTTAACAGATATTAGAAATTTACACGCGTAGATGGATCTTATTACCAGAAGGTATTATGATTTGGTTATGAAGCAATAGGCAATATTAAATATTATTTTCTATAAATTAAAATAAATATATATTTTTATCTGAAAGCTATAATTGTAAATGGAATCGTGACATTATAAGAGAAAAAGTTAAACAGAGAAAGAGGGGGAAACAAAGTATCAGTAGTATTTCAATAGAAATAGCCAATATATGTAACAATGAAAGAAATATGAGAAATAAAATAGATTAAAATAAAACTATGAATATAAAATAGAATAATTAATTAAGAAAAAAGTATGTAGACTATTTAATTATGCAAATCTTTAAATTATTTACAAGGTTAAATTAAAAATTATTAAGTCATAAATAGCTTACCTCGGCTTAGCTACGACTAAAAGATCATTGAAAAGAAACAGATGTCTATCTTGGCTCTGTACTCCCTAACAATATAAAGAAAGTTTAAGTTTTGTTATGTAAATAAACTTAAAATTTTTAATTTCCATGTAATCAATATAAATCTCCTGATAACTATAGAAGTTTTGAGATTAAACTAACCATTGTAAACTGAACCGAACCCTCCATGATAAAGGATCGACTACATTCTTGTCTGGAAAGTCTTCTCTGTGGTGAGATGATGTCTTTCTTTTGAGGGCTTCTGTAACTATTGAATTACATTAAATTAAAGCGCAAACAATTTCTCATTACCATATAATTAATGTTTAAATAAACTTGTTTACTCTCAAAAAACATTGCTCATCTTGATTCAATACTAACCACGTTTTAATTAACATTATAAATGTTAGGGTATACAGTAAATTATTCTTTTCTGTATGTAAAATTTAATCTTTGAACAATAAAGTTTAAATTTATAAATAAGTTTTCATATAAAGGATAATTTTTTTCTTTTTGTTTGCTCGTTAAAAAGCATTGCTTAATACGAAAGAATTTTTACAAGCTTATAAAATTACTATTAAAATTGCAGAATTATTAATGATAAAATTACTTATATGAGATAATTTTATTTATTTTTCGAAATATTAAATCTAGACATGTAGACAAGTAAGATTAAGCATTTTTGGTCAGTGTTTATAATTACATTTTTACTATATAAACTTAAAAATAAAAATACAAATTCACATATAAACACGCCTTGACTATGAGTATTGAAAATGTTATATAATATGTGTCTTAATAACAGAGAAGAATGATTTAAAACAATCTCCATTCAAAAAAATGACTAGTTACTGGAAAAGTCTTGCGACGATAATAATAATAAGCCATTTTCTTATCGAGTAATTAAGATAATAAAAATATTTTTATACATTCGCAATGCTATGATGTAGATCGTAATTGCAAATTTTATCAAAAACATGAGATTTTTCAGAACTACTTAATTATCGTCTCTATATAAGAAAACAGGAAGTCATTTATCCAAATAGAGCTAAGCGGTGCATTATTATTTAAGGAAATATATTAAGAAATACTTTTTATAATGTACGATTGAATGAACTATAAAACCTTAAAATAGTTTTATTTTGTACTTAAAAATCTATATAATTAAAAATTTCGAAAGAAAACTTCGTTATAAAATACAGTATAAAACTTTATAGCACTACTTAATAAAATTTATGATGATCAATTACATATGAATTTGATATTATAACAAGCTATTTTAATTTGTAATAAAAAAGTATTCAACTTTAATTAGATTTTCACTAAATATGTCGGTTTTTTAACTACTCCGTATTTATAAATACCTGTAGACATTCTTCACTTTATCATTTTAAGCAATACATTAAATAACCATTCTTTTTCACTATTTTTATACAGAGCTACGCTTATATTTTTACTTCCTTATATATTTAAAATGCAGAGAATATTCAATCTTTATAAGAATAAGAATTTTTAAAACTATACTGTATCTAATTTATATTACAAAGTGAATAATTTAAATTATTTTTTCCTTATCAAAAATATTTTAATACTATCGTCTATTACAAAATTAGGCTAGGTTATACATAGCTTATTATGTAATTCTTTTCTATATGTAAACAATTATTGAGTGAGTACCAATATATATCAAATCATTCTATCTAGCCTATATCCATATCTTAGAATGCTATCAAAGAAAATAGGCCTATTAAATTAAAAACAATACTTCAACAACGCATACCACCGGGTTCTTTTCTTATTCAAGTTTTCCATATTTATTACCCAATTTTCTTCGAAAGTTGCGTATAATCTTATTAAATTTCAAATTTTTATCTTTATTTTTTTATGTTCATACTCAGAATATTTTTAAATTTTATTATATAAAATATTTCTATAATTAATAATAATAATAATTAATGTACTACATTGGCATCTAATGTTGAGGATTTTATGTTAAGTACTGTAATAATATATTTCTTTTTATTCTCTAATCTGTCATGTTAAAGTACGCCATGTAAATTTATTTCAAAAATAATAAATTAAATACTTAGTATAACATTCAAAATCAGTGATGCTTTAATTTAATAAAAAGATCCTATTATATTAAATAGTAAATAGATAGATTGATATGTTTATATAAACATATGGGATATATATTATCTGTATCATACACCATCAGGCGCGAATTATGGCTGGTTAATGACCAGAACACATTTCACATGTGTTAAATTGACGTCACAAACGGAATTAACCGTTCCACTTCCTGTATACATTCTTTAAATTATGAAATGATTGACATTTCCTTAAGATAGTTACTCTCTTCTGATTCGCATCATTTCATCTAAGAGAAGTTAAAGACTTTTGCAAATGGCCAAATATTGATTAATCAACTAAAAATTAAAACGAATTAAACACCAACTCAAGCTGCATATAACAAAAATTAACATTTTATAATAAATTTCTATACAGACACTATAATATGCCTTTTTTTCTTTCAATTTTATAAAGTAATATTTAGTATTAAAAGCTAAGGTAGCATATAATAAAGTAAGCAAAATTTTCATTTCCAAATATAATTAAAACGTGAAGTCATTATAATTTACCTTATTAATTACATTGGATTTTTGTTCATTGTAACAACATTTATTACAATTTAAGTTGTTAAAAACTAATTATTATAACTGATAACAGATGAAATTATTTTAAATTTGGTTTTTTAAAGTTTTTATAATTGAATTTAGTAGTCTATTATTAAAAAAATAGTTCAATATTAAAATTTGTATAAAATATATTATAAAAAAAAATAGTTAGCTACGTAATTTTAAAAAATTCCACTCAAATTTTTTAAATTACCTAGATAATAATGTACAAATATTGCATTAAAATATTGGATAAGATTTGCAATACTAAATGATAAATAATGATGAAATTTGTATACCTGAAACACTCAATTTTATTTTAACAAAAGCTATTCATTTACTGAATTTTCAAAAGATGAAAAATACACATTCAGTTAAAAATTCTCAAAGTTTTAAAATATAAAAAAGAAAAGACTGAACTAATAGTTTAAATATTTAATAAGAATAAACTAAAATTTATTTTTAAAATTGAAAAACTCCCCAATATTTCGAAAAAAAAAAAAAAAATGAAATAGTAACAATGACTTGACAATATTGCATTTAGTCATTTTATCTGTTTTGAATTCTGTTTTTAGTTTAAAATCATTTCTTTAGAAATTGATTTCTAAGGTTTTAATGCAATCTTTTCCATTTGTTGTTCAAACTTTATTTTATTTATAAATAACTAAAAATTTATTAGCAAGTCTATCAATAGGATTTCATGCAGCATTCATTTTACTTGGCAATTTGAAAAAAGAATGATTAAAGAATTGTTAAAAATCTAATGAAGCGAAACGTATTAAAATTTTGGCATTTTAATCGAATATAAGAAAAAATAAAATTGGTTTGACCATGAAGCAAATCGATACACGTAATAAAAATTCGATATTAAATTATTTAACTGCAAACTATTTTGCCATAGTACAACGAACAGTTTCTATTACGTGTACAATAACTCTCAAACAGTAGCAACTTTATAATCCGCTTAATTAAATAATAAAACGGATATTAAATATTATTTGTAATTAAATATGTTAAATAACTTAAATTATAATAAGATATATATTAAATTTTTTACATTCGTAATATCATAATAATAATTAACAATATGAATCAAAAATAAAATAATTAAATGCATTATTTATAATAATAATAATAATAATGCATTTAGTCAACAAATTTTACAATTTAATAATCATCTCTTTTTTATTAATAACTCAGAAATAATTATTGATAATAATTCTCTGTAGTATTATTTGTAGACTTATTAAAAAAGGTTTCTAAATGGAATAAAAGGCAACACATCCGTATTTGATAGAAGCAGGTGTGTCTGTCTGTCTCTCATTGAGACGACTTCAATGAATGAAAACGTGCGAGACACTCACGATAACAAAATCTTGTTCGTTAGAAAACAATAGAACGAGCTTAAATTAAGATATTCAATAGGTCAACAGGAATAGCACCACATGCCATCGTGAGAACCGATTATTTGATTTATCGATCCGCCATCTTCTCTTATAGCTAAAGATATTTTTGACAATAATAAATATGTTTAAAGATTTTTTAAATAAATGTATAAATTTCATACATTCTTAATATTTCTTACGTATATTGAATAATCTTTTAAAGAGAAAAGTAAGTTGTGAAAAAGTAAGTTTCCTTAATTAAGGGTTATGGAGGAAAATTAAATTGGTTGACCACTGTACCAGATATATCTCCCACGCTCTAGAAAATAGCACACTTCCTGCCACCTTGACCAATGTGTAGTGGGCGTATATCGAGCATGTGCCCCACCCTTCTTTTCTACGGTACTAAGTATAAACAAACAGTAAACACATAGTTTTCCATGATAAAAATGTGATTTTTATGAATATAATCAGATTCAAAATTACAGTTTACTTTTAGCATTATTAGAATATTTTTAAAAAGTTTATATTAATGCGTTTAAGTGATCTTAAGATAATCAAATGTTTTGTTTCCATATAAACTCCACGAAAACGTTTAATTGTCATGAAAGTAATAATGGTCCACAATATCTAATGGTTTTAATTTTGTTAAAGAATACGTCATTTTAGAATTAGGCCAACTTACTTTTCATTTGGAAACATTTTTGATTTTCCTGGCAATGCTTTTTGAAGTTTATAGGCTGCTGCAGATTTTGTCCTCGAAAGATTCTTTTTCTGAAATGAATCAATCATAAAATAAATGACTAATATTCTATGCGTTTGAATGAACTGTCTATTTAAGAGCCTGATAAAATAATTTACTAGGTTTAAACAATATTATGAATTTTGTGAATCAAAGAATTAGCCAATTAAATATATACGAAATAAAATTTAAAATTAATATCTCACATACTGGTGAAAATGGATCTCTATCGTGCAGCCTCAAGTTATCATTAGGGAAAAGATCTTGTATTCTATCCAAATCAGTTTCTTCTTTGGCAGCCTCTGTCCTTTTCACCATCTGTAGTGAATATAATAACAATGATATCAACAAACATTCACGGATGAGATATTACTGTCGATAAAGCGCCGAAAGACATCACAAATGTTGACGTGATGCGATCCAGATCCTCCCTTGACCTTTGATCCGGTGCTGACAAGCAGCAAGTGTCAACCAGACATGGGATGGAGAGTTAGGGGGCAGATAAAACATGCTAGAGTGTTTGTGGCATCCCAATCTGGCTCCTCTTAGCAACGAAGTTTATTACCACTGATAACAACATACGCGTAGTATACATCTATGTTCAGAAGGGGTCATTAGCCTCGCGGTTTTTTCTAGCGGCTTTTCTGTAAAACTGCTTTCTAATTTCGGAAAAATTCGAAAACGGAATATTTTTATTGATAGGGAAATAAGGGAAATACAATAATTCTCATACATCCAGCTGTCCCTTGAATCGAGTCAAGGATAGAACACAATGGCTTACGTGCGTGAAACTCGTTTCCGTGACGTAAACTTCGGAGGTTGGATGAGTTGAGATCGTAAGAGGTCCTTGTTTTTACAATCGTCCTTAATGTCGATATTTTCTTACTTTCAATCACATTCATCAACGTATAATTAATTAGGTCGAACATGAATGATTTCTTATATTAAACAATAGATAGTTGCAATAATTGACTTACTTTTGTAGCCTTTAACGATGCTCTGCAAATATCACTATTATCTGGATGATCTTCGGATGTCTCTTCAGCTAATTGGGACAAATATTGTTCATATTGGACTAATCTATCCAGCTGTAGAAAGTAAAAATAATAATTTAATTTTCAATTTTCCCTTATGGATGATAATGTATATTATTTAATAAAAGTAATTGTAAAATCAGTTTATTTTCAGTATCTAAAGTAAAAATGATTAAAAGGCAAAAACTGATTAAGTGCAGAGTCTATATGCATATATAAACTAGCAGCATATAAAAAAGGTGTTATTCTATTGTTTTCTTATTTACACATACAATATTTATTGTGTGTTTAACTACTTTGTGTTTAGAAGTAATGAGAAATAAGAAAATATTACGTGACTTAATCAAATAAAAAGCCTTTTATGACAGTCTAAAATTATCAACTACAAAGATGATTTTCAAATAAAAAGTGATTTTTCTAGACCAATACTTTGTTTGTAAATTGTAAATAAACCATTTGGATAGATACACCTCCACATGAAATTGCATAGCGTGTTAAAGTTCTATTGTTCTAAAACTATAATGAATATTGCGTGTTTGAGTTTTTGCCTTCTAAGAAATGAACTTGTCATCTATGTTCTTCTCAGAAGAGACAAAGAGAATCGGTTCTATAATCATATTACAATACAATGCGTGCCTATACTCATTCATCGTCTTCCTTGAAGTGATTTAAGAGAGGAAAGAAAGCCAGGAAGTGTAAGTCTTATAGTTTTTATATTAGAAATAATTACATCGAAAACTCAAGAATATGTGAACTATTGACACTCGCGAAACATTACAAGCCTATAAAATCGGCATCATATCATAGTCTAAATGCATAATAGAGAAATAGATAGTCGGCATTCCACAACATAGGCAACGTGTAGTTTCAGCGATAGCATACTTATATATAGATGCTATCGTTTGCAAGACCTCTCTGCACCTCACGACCGCTTTTCCTAAAGCTACGTAAAGTAAGGGAGTGGTTATAATAGCAGAGTTGGGGGAAGCATCTTCAGGTTTGTGTTCGAGTTCCGTTATAGCTTATATAACAAATTGGAAACTAAATAAATATTCAAACTAAAACTTTAACAGTACATTTTCAGGTTCACCTGTTATTAAAAACTGAATATATGTATTTACTGAAATTTATAAATTCATATACAGTATTTCCCTATTTTTTTTATGTTCGATATGTTTAGGTTGCTTTTATTTCTAAATAAATAATTTAGCAATTATTTTTCTCACTTTATTTAGTTAATGAAAAAATGTTCGATTATTAATTTTAAATTATAAACTACATTAAAATAAAATAAATTAATAAAAAATACGTATAACAAGTTTAAAAAGTTGCAATTTTAGAACAATATATAAAATTCTGTTAAGATCATGTGCAAATAATAAATACTTCTAATTTAAAAATGTGCAAATAAAAATTTGAAAGTAAAACATTCACTAAATAAAACTTTATTTGGAAGAAAAGTAATACTTTAAAATATATTAAACACAAAGCACATTATGTCAAGCAGATTTTATTAAAATATTATGTTTATTTTTAGATTTTATATACTTAGTTTTAAATTAAGTAGTATTTTCTTTTTCTGCATAAAAGATGATTTATAAGTACGATATGTTATCTAAAAATGAATGAATTCCAACAATATAAAGATAAATTTCAAAGAATTCCATTCTTTGGCATGTAAATAAAGTTCAAAAGCTCAATAGGAGAATATAAAGCAAGTAAGTTCGTCACGTAGAAGTGTTTGCATTTCCGCCATTGTTGAGCATAAGCGGAAAAAATGAAAATCGAATGTCTCGTAATTCAGGAAACATTACGAGGTGACACTGTCCGGTAACTCCCAGATCCTGTAGGTGTCTCCCAGAGTCATATCCTGGTCGTTTACCTAACAATAAGTCACGATATGAGGGTCATAGTTCGGTCACCGAGACTGTGATTAGAAGTGTCCAGCCGAACCCGGGATCCCCATAAATGTAAACTGTTTGAACCAATTCATACGCCGAATACCGACTGGTTACTAAAGGAAAATGGATGATGGAGGAGGAACAAATACGAAGCGGAACCATCCTGGTTCATCTACCTTGTAACCATTGACTGGAACATGACATTTATAAATTGTTTAGATCATATTTTGTACTTAATTGGTGAGTATTAAACACAAACCAGAAAAATTGCTACTAATACGCGTTTAGGTTTGTTTCTTGTCACATCATAATCTGATTTTTCATGTTACAAGTGATATTTCAACTATTAAAAATTCTTTCGTCAAAAATAATGATTTGGCCGAATTAAAATATATTTCATATCAATTTTTTTATAATCAGTCACGGTGATTTTTTAAAACAATTTAAGTAAATATTGTGAAAATACAATTATATTTCTTAAATATTAATTATTTTTTATTACAAGAAAAATCTATACAACTATCATTTTTTAATTACCGATATGGATGGCGTAACAACAGTTCGATATTTTCTTTTGCCAGAAAACACGCTACTGTGTAATGCGTGAATATGCGTCCTCAATGCTAGCGTAATGTTATGGGTCACCGAGTTGTTCACTCTATATACTGTACACGTTCCGTTAAGTTTCGCAGTACTCTCAGATTATTTGTATTTTTTTCATATCTCACTAGATCACAGATTTGCAAAATATACGCCATGCAATTTATCTAAACTCGGGCATCGTCAATATCTACCGAATACGGTCAAAATGAAGATAGCGCAATATCGAGAAATTCTTGAAATATTTAAATTTATCCCTGTATTTGCTCTATTTAACGCCTACTTTTACGACTAGACGAAAATATGGATAAGTTTGCTAAGCAGGTTTTATTTAACAATCTATAATTACTTCTGTTTAAGATAGACGTCAAGTGTTATAATTAGGAATGTTTTCACCGTGCCAGGTCACGCGTGACACAGCACGTGCAACTCAATTGACCGTTGCTTGTAATTACAGCGAAACATCTCAACTTTATTTAGTCTAAATCGCGTTTTTCACTTTAGTCCAAAATTTATTTTTTCGCCAAGACAATTTCCTATTAAGAAACCAGCTAAAATTAGTTCTGTACTTTCTTCTTTTCATCTGGTTTTTATGTTAATATATGAATAGACTTTTTCGTTTACTCAACTATTTTAATGATTTACGGAGCAAGTCAAGCTTGCTATTATTTAACATAAATAGAAAAAAAATATCTTTTAAAAATTCTAATACTTTCAAACAAACTTAATAATTTTTAAACAAATTAATTTTTTTCTTTATTATCCAGTGTCTGATCTTTGCTTAAAAGCCTAACAACTTCATTTCTTGGTTTACTAAAAGATTTAAAATACGTCACGATTTTTCTTTTTACTTTAATTAAAAGTCAAGACGTATTTCGAATTGAAAAAGATAAGAATAACTTGGACAGATAACTGACCTTCGATTACAACAAAGGTAATGACGACATTGCGAGAAATTAAAATTAATGAAAGTGTAATCAGATATTAATTATATATCGATTTTACTGTCACTTTAAATGAATTATTTAGATCTTACAATGAAGGTTACTTTACGACGTCATAAATCGAGATTTCTATTTTGTCGCACAATAAGGTTTCGGCGTTAATATAAGAATATAACAGACAGACATTGAAAGGGATTTATCACGTTAATAACTAGTTTCTTTTCTGATCGTGATTGCTGTCAACAGTCTTTCAGATATCAAGATCGCTAACGTATATCAGCAATATTAAATAATATAAGAAAAATTTACTCTTAACTCATTTATTTCTATAATCTACGTATTGAAATAAATTTCTATAATAATTTTTTTTAGAATTTCATTTCCCTAAAATATCAATTAATTACAATTTTTTAATCCTAAAAGTTACTACTAGATTATAATTTACTTACCAAGTAATTAAAAACTTATTCAGTTTATCGTAATTTCATGTTATAGAATAAATATTATTATAAAAAATTCTCGCTTCTTCCTCTTGCGAGAAAACAATTCAAGAAATGAGAATTTCATCATTTTTTTTTTCATATTAATAATAAGAAAACTAAATTACATTGAATTTAGTAACAATTTTTTTATGATTAAACATTTCCGTTATTTAATCTCTAGCAAATTATCAATAGATATTACAAAAACGACAAAGTTCAGTACACCTGTATTATCATCCAGATAAACCAATTTCAAACAATTGTTCATATATTTTCTTGATAACGAAAAAACTTCACAATGTAAATTAAATTGTAAATCACAAAAATAGAAGAATGAATGAGTTTGGTTTTCCACCTAGATCTTACTGGTTTGTATAATTTATTTTATTATTGAGAAAAGCTAGGATATATCATTAATACAACAACCTTAACTTAGGTATACCAAGAAAAATATTTCAAACGGTTAATACAGGGATAATAGCTGTTATCTACTGACAAAAATATGATCTATAATTTTGCTAGATTAATAACAGCTTCGTAATCATTTATCTTTCTTTCCAGAAGATAACTGCTGACAGGAAAGTTCTTAATGAACACGTATCATGTTTCATTGTTTATTTTTTAAATTCCACCACTAATGACACGGGTTGTAGGTGGTTGAAATCATTCAAAACTAATTCCATATTTCCTAATGTCAATGTTGCTAAACGTTTCAACTTTATGACGTTTATCGCTCGATCTGAACAGTAAAGTATGTTTGTTCACTATAAACGTTGACTATAATAATAATTGTATCTTGGAAATGATTTAAATATCTATTTAGATAAGTGGCTATCAAAGAATTGTCCATTTAAGATATTTAATGTCTACGATAAAAACAATCGTATTCCACAACACGTGTAAAATTAAAAAGGGATTTAAATGTATAAATACCTAAAATATTCTATGAATAGCTATATTATTATTTAGACAATTTTGTTTGTATTCAAGACTCAACTACAGTAGTTTAATTATAGAAAAAAAAATTGAAGTAACGTTTCTATTATAATGACGATAACAATAATAATAATAATACATTTAAAATCACGTCTAAAAATGCTTGAAGCCATTTTTCTTATACAGTGTAA